TTGTATGCTGTAAATATTTTGATATCTGTGCACTGCAATAATATATTTCTACTTTGCTAGAATTCTTAAAATTATAATATTAATAATAATAATACTAACAATAATTTAATAATAATAATAATAATAACAATAATAATAATAATAATAATAATAATATTAATAATAATAATAATAATAATAATTACAATAATAATAATAATAATAATAATAATAATAATAATAATAATAATAATAATAATAATAATAATAATAAAAATAATAATTCCCCTGTAGTATTAAAAAATCATATCGTAATATATAGAGCATTGAATATGTGATGGTAATATTATATTATTTTTGTGTCTCAAAGTTAAAATGAAAGTCGAAAAATATAGTTTTGCCACATATAGACATATAAACAAAAAATACGTAAACACAAAAACTAACAACCTCCAGCTTAAGGAATATCACATTGCTCTAGTCATTTAGAAACTAATAAAACATTTTGAAGCTTGCACTATCTATTGTCAGTCAACCATTTATTCACTACATGAGGAGTTTTATACTGGAAAAATACGATGTGTGATGATCTCGAGGCAAAATATAAGAGCGCTGAGAGTCAGTCCGGTGACTGGGAGCACAAACATCCCCTGGAGTGTGGAGAAGAGCGCTAGATTTAAATAACATTCTTACCATAAATAAACGAATTATTATTATTATTATTATTATTATTATTATTATTATTATTATTATTATTATTATTATTATAAGTAGTAGTAGTATAGTAGTATAGTAGTAATAGTAGTAGTTCCTGTTGCATTCAATAATTAATATTATTGTTACTATTACGGTAATGATCATTCTTGTTTTATTTTTTAAAATAGAGTATAATATAAATATATTACCCAAAGGTTGTCCACGGAGAGAGAGGTGCTGACAGTGATCTTAGTCGGAGGGAAGGAACACGTTGTGAAGTTTGGTATTCGTTGTTTAATCCACTGGTAGTACAGCCCAGCTTCAGTTATTGACATGACCCTGTACATGATGATGACAAATAAATATAGAACCAAAGATTGATGTTTTATAATCATACGAACGGTTAGATAGATAGACCAATATAATAATGTTTTATGCACTATGATTGTTTGTACATTCTACTTATCACAGGAACCAGAGGACTGTTCTTTTGACCAATGAGAGCTAAGACAGATGGCAGCAGCCTCTCTCTCGACAAGTAGAAGTCACAACGACCTACGGGAGGTACAGGTGTATTAGTATAGTATTAACTGCAACCGGCAACTGAACTATGATTACATACACGCACACATAACTTATATATATATATATATATATATATATATATATATATATGATATATATTATATATATATATATATATATATATATATATATATATATATATATATATATATATATATATAATTCAACAAAGAGTACATTAAATTGGAGGATGAAATCCTTTGATAATTCTAAAACACAATGCCTCAATGGTAAAATGTCAGACTCTGCATATGCCCCCTCGTTCGTGACTGGTGCAAGTACATTAAACATAGTCCAGGCATTCTAGAACACGCCAGACAATCAATGGTGCGATATGTACAGGCCTGCATTGAGGCAGAAGGGGGCAACTTTGAACATTTCCTTTAGGTTGTAACAAAGGGGGATCACACTGTACAGATCTGTGAATAAATTATTATAAAAACCTATAAGGGTTTCACTTCATAGTCACTCTCATTAATACAACATCTTAAATATATTGTAACAGTGAAACTAAGCAGAATCTGACATTTTACCATAGAGACATTGTGGTTTAGAATTATCCAAGGATTCCATCCTCCAATTTAATGTACTCTTTGCTGAATCACCCTGTATATTCACCAAGACAAATATAAGTCTTTGAAGTACTGACCTAAGTGACCACCTCTCTCACTTAAGTAAATTATAATGCTGTGATATACATAATTCACTGTACAAGGACAAACCAAACGAGTTGACCATCTAAGAATAACAAAGAAAGTAGTTGAAACCTGTTTTAGAGACGTCTCGGCTAACGATCATACTAATGATGATCTCGATGTCTATAAGAACGTGGTCGCCTCGCCTCACCAGGGTGTCGGCGCTGTGGAAGAACTCAAACAGTGTCTGGTACTTGATGCCTCCCCTTGACTCCGTTTCGGCCACTTCACGGTATATCCCAGACTCCACTGACTTTGGAAGAAAAAAAATGTGTTAAAATTCACACCTAATGCACAGCCATTTTCACACTGATATTAGGTATTCTGCTATAGTACATTTTTGTGCAAGTACAGGTTTAAGAATAAAGCTACAGTAATATTCATATGGTGATAATATCGTAAGGTCTTACTTGACCAAGACATGACAGAAACGCACCTAAGTCTTACTAAGCTTCCTCTATATAAATTGCAATTCATATTTAAGTGGGTACATACATCAACTTATTAAGAGACAGATACCTACAAGTGCTCGTACCTTGATATATTCAACATTCTTTGAGCCGCGATGCCAAATCATAGTTGTCGAGGGGCTGTCTAAAAGGTCACGAAGGGTTTGGTATGGCTGTTCGATGTGTCTTACTGCTAGTACGGACATGAGAGTCCCGGCGTAGCTCTTGACCAGCACGAGTGACATTAACATCCAAACAGCGAACACAAGACGCCTCCACCACCATCCAGACACCATGTAGTCTGTGGCACCGATGTAATAATAATAGTATTGTTGGTAGTAGTGATATAATGAGTTTTAAGCCTAAGGTTCTTATACGAACTATTGAATGACATTATTCCCTGAGTACAATGTCTTCGAATTTAAGGATATTGATCATCGTATTCAAAATGTTAAGATCAAGGAGACTAGTGATCAAGTCGTTGCACTCTATAGACTAAGTTATTGTACTCAAAGGGATAAGTTGTTACACTCAAGGGGTTGTTAATGTACGCGAGGAAATATTTCTCTAGGGGAAACTAAATAATTGCATTATCGGCATTGGAATCGGTAGCCCACTGGAAGTATTAAACATCAGGGGTCGTACATCTATTGCTTCTCATTTCGCCGTCTAGGGAACTAGCGTGTAAAGATAACTACGGTTTCCCCCACTCGACCTCTAGTGGACCCCCTAAAAAAAGATTCTTGAAAGATAAAAAATACAAATGAAACGCTTTTGCTTAAAGAATAAATTCAGCTATTATTTATAAAAAAAAATAATTCATATACAGTAGGTGTACAGTTGTCAATATGTCATCCTCGATCGCTGTTGCCTATTTAATCCCATGTTTAGTTTAGACAACCTAGTGTCATTTTACATAAATTATTTGTTTGAGACAAGAAAAAATCAGTACAGACATTTAAAAATTAGCTTTAATTTTTTTTTTATCTGTACATAGTTATTATCTGAAAAAAAATGTGTATTGGGGATATACTGATGGAATAATCAAATCTTTGGACAAAATTCCGGAATACTCATCACACACACATATGCTTTTGAGTGAGTGTGTATATGCGTTTATGAGACAATATACCAGTATTGGAATCCTTGTGAAATAATGAAAGTTTCAGATACAATCCCCTTTCTTGTTCCAGGCGCCACTAGTTAGATCACGAAGCACTCTCAGTCCACCCTTCGGTAAAGGGTGTACATAACTAACTGTTCAAGTTGGGTAGGTGTAGGCGACTGACTGCAGTCCAGGCCCCCTCTGCCCCAGGGAGGCCTAGTATAAAGCACTGCACACACACACTGTCTCTAGTGGGTAGTCATGTCTGTGGACTCTGCTTACACTTCTACTACTTCACGAAGATCAACACATGGTGGAATTAATACTTAGTTAGATCGCTTAGTCCTAACCGATTAAACTAATTTGGATGGGCATTATCACATTTAAAAGCAATAAACCTCTGCACTTAATGAGTCAAATGTCGTTCTGGACAAATTCAGAAAATATTTATGTCACGTCGGTAACCGGATTAAATTACATTGACTTTGATGATCGGATCGTTTAATACATATATTCAGTGTTGGTCCTGGAGGCGAAAGAACAATCTTCTAGTACAAATTCAGCAAGCTTGGTAATGTGGGATGAAGGGGTAAGACAGACGCTAGTGATTACTGGTGTCACTGTCATAAGATATAGTTCACTGGGAAATACATCCTTTGTGACATCCATATGTGTCAAGCACTTGTTTATGATTTGTTGACACATTCTTACAAACCTTACCAAGGAAAGAATTCCTTGGGGAACTGTTTCCCTTAGCACAAGTGCTCTCTGGCAAGGACCTAAGACTTACCTTGCTGCAGTAAGATACGAAATAAACTGAAGAAAGTTGAAATCCAATTGTCTTCTTTAGAGTCGTTTCGAGAGAATGACGAAGACAAGAGGAACATCACGACTGGCAGCATCAACATTGTCGCTAGGATGGCTACCCACACTAACGGCGCCAGAGGTGTGAACAAGAAGCCCCACGGGTCGATTTCTGGCAGCCCTCGACTAGCAAGGATCCTTGAGTATTGTATAGTTAGTGGCATGGTAAAGTCCACCACTTCAGCCCGTGCAATAGACAAGCTCAAAGGGTCAGCAGAAAACTCCGCTTCCTCGGTGGGAAAAACAAAATAAACATAAGAAAGACTATGTTGCCGTTGTTGATATATATATATATATATCTTGATAAAATCACACGGGAAAATGGAAACAACGGATCACCTTAGGTTTCGTCTTTATTCAAGACATCTTCAGAGATGTCTTGAATAAAGAGGAAAGCTAAGGTGCTCCGTTGTTTCCATTTTCCCGTGTGATTTTATCAAGATTTATCTTATCCACGTTTTCATTGTGGATTTACATGTATATATATATATATATATATATATATATATATATATATATATATATATATATATATATATATATATATATATATATATATATGCAAAATAAATATGATAGGTATATATATGTAATTCACAGGGTGAATTACACGAAAGCGCATTTTTTGTATAACAGCATATATATATATATATATATATATATATATATATATATATATATATATATATAGTCCTTATGCATTTCATAAATTTAATACGGGCATCTCTGTAGCCACATATGCTATGATATAGTAAATATGAAAATGATATATAAACGGAATGTCACTGCAAATACTGTACTTTGGGTAACACAAACACAAGCAAATTTACCTTTAATAAACGAATATAAAATTGGCAACAACTGTAAATTCTAAAGGCCGGAATCACAGTTTCTTACTTTCATGCGATTTACAATTTCGTCGCGCTTGATGCCTCACCCCCACTTACCTCCCTCACCACCATGCCCATCAAGCCTGACCAGGACCCATCAGTCTGCTTGGAGCCGAAACTGTTGTCAGGTGGAACCACGTATTTGTATCTGTAGAATAATTAATATCCGTCTTAGATGAATTCCCCTATCAATCGTCTGAAACTGTTTTCCACGGTGAAGTCGATTTGATACATATGTGACAGTGAGGACTGTGCAGGATGGTATTTAGTGGAGTTAATTAGGACAGGTTTAAAAGTTTATTTAATTCTGGCAAAATTATCCACTAATCTAGCTTCTTTCAATCAACCAATTAATCAATCAATCAATCAGAGTACTGTCCTCATGTCTGAGGGTTGGCTGCCACAGTCCTGCAAACGTTTTCGGGTTGTTTCCCCCTGGCTCTCCTACCCTAAACTTGTCCATTAATATTTGTGTTATTATTCCCTTATCCTTAAATATAGGACCAAGTATCTCTTTTGTTTTCCTTTCTTTTAACAATTAAAACACTTTCCCTGAAGTCTTTGTTCACAGAAGTACTTCATTTGTTTCCTGTCAGTGTAAATTATTTCTTAACATATGCCTATAACACCACATTTTATAGGCCCCAGTCTCTTTATGGTGTCTGCTGAAACAGCCTCTACTTTTGACACATGCCAAAGTCCTTTCCACACTACATCCTTGACCACCGTAGGGTCGAGAGCTATTCAGGCGCTGCTCCTGCTGAGCAGCGGCCCCCCTTGGCCAATGTTCGGCCCATTCCCCAAGTCCCTCTCCCTGACCCATCCTCACCACCGGGATGTCAACATAATCAAAAATGACAATTTCGTTTCGGAAAGAAGTGGGATCAGTGTTGAACAGTGATGAACAGTGTTTAACCCAGCGAATTCAGCACCAGACAGTACCAGTGAGAGCTGTGACCCACCAGTGAGATAAGCACCCCTGGGAACTGACCACCATCTTCTGACCAGGAGGTGCTAATCAGTTCACCATGGGAACAACAGTGGGTCGGCTTTACACCTGACTACGAAATAACACAACACCACCCAGCAGGGCGAGGTACTGTGACACCACCCCACACCAGCCGGTGTCTCCATGACAACGTGAGGTCCTTCATATCAACACCCGAGGACGAGTTGCTGCACTACGTGAACACCACACCATCCGGTGCCCCCATAAAAACATAAGATCATAAGAATGGAGGAAGCTGCAGCAGGCTTATTGGCCCATACTGGGCAGTCCTATTTACACCCAAACCCTATTGCTCATATAACCGTCCAACCTATGTTTGAAGCTATCCAGCGTATTCGAGTTAATGATGGTATTTGGTAACTTTTTCCACTCGTCCACTACTCTATTTCCAAACCAATGTTTACTTATTTCACGCCTAAATCTAAATTTGTCGAACTTAAAACCATTGTTACGAGTTCGCTCCTGGTTGGATAGTTTGAGTACCTTTGTAATGTCCCCTTTGTTTAGCCCTGACTTCCAATTATACAGCTCTATCATATCGCCCCTCACTCTACGTCTCTCGAGGGAGTGCAAATTAAGATGCTTTATCCTGTCTCTGTACTCAAGGCTCCTAATGCCCGGGATTAGTCTTCTCATTCTCTGCTGAATTCTTTCCAAGGATTCTATATCCATGCTGTAATACGGTGACCAGAATTGAACTGCGTAATCCAAGCGAGGTCTCACAAGCGCAAGATATAGTTTAAGGATGACCTCGCTGGTCTTGTAACTAACACTCCTTTGTATATAGCCTAGTATTTTATTAGCCTTGTTTCGAGCAAATACACATTGTTTACTTGGCTTAGGATTTACACTTATCATTACTAATAAATCCTTCTCACAGTCGGATTTCTCAATAACATCATTGTTCATCTGGTATCTGGTTTCCCTGTTTACATCTCCTAAACTGAGTACTTTACATTTCTCCACGTTGAATTTCATCTGCCATTTTTCAGATCATTTGAAATTTTTTTTAAATCTTCCTGTAGTTTTGCGGAGTCCTCGTCAGATTTAATTATACGCCCTATTTTACTGTCATCATCAAATTTGCTTAAGTTACTGTGTACGCCGATATCTATGTCGTTTATGTATATAATAAATAATAATGGTCCAAGTACCGAGCTTTGGGGAACTCCACTAGTGACGTTGCTCCAATCGGATTTAGTGCCGTTAATGCTCACTTACTTTTTCCTGTCCTGTAACCACGCCCTAATCCATTTTAGAATAACTCCTTTAATGATATGGGCCTCCACTTTTCTTATTAGTCTTTCGTGAGGGACTCTGTCGAAGGCTTTGCTAAAGTCGGGATATACCACATCATAACTGTGCCCCTCGTCCACTGATTCGAAAATAGATGTTGGGAATCATTGATCAACTTGTGCTTCTCCAGGTGATTTCGAATAGAGTTTGAAATGATTGCTTCCAGTAATTTGCCTACCATTGATGTTAGACTGGTTGGGCAGTAGTTAGAGGATAGTGATCTATCTCCATTTTTGGAAATCGGTATTACATTTTCTATCCTCCCGGAATCTGGTACTACCCCCCCCCCCTTTTTAAGGATATGTTAAATAACTTTGCTATGGGCATACTAAGCTCTTCCTTACTTTCCTTTAATACTCTGGCAAATATCTCATCGGGACCTGGTGACTTATTAGGCTTTAGTTTGTCTATTTGCTTACTAACATCGTTACTAGTCACTACTATCTAGCTTAATTTATTTTCTTCATTACAATTGTATATAGTCGGTGCCACGGGTATCATGTTTAAAGTTTCAGTGGTGATAACTGTTGTAAAATATTTATTCAGGTTATTGCTCATTTCTCCGTCGTTATCAGTTAGCTCGCCGGTATCTGACTGCATTGGTCGAATCTTTTCTCTTGTTTTAGTTTGATACTTTTAATAAAATCCATTGGGGTTTAACTTCGCCTCCCTTGCTACCTTCAGTTCATTATTTCTCTTTGCTTTTCTTATCTCGGTCTTAACCCTACCGGCCAATACCTTATAATAATCTCGGAGGTTTACTTCACCACGATTTATTCTCCTACCTATAGCTTTCCTTTGTCCAATAATATTATTTGAATAATTGTTTATCCATTTAGGGTCATTGTTGTTTGATCTGAGTTTTCTGAATGGTGTCTTCTGCCTTTGTGCATTAAGTAACTCATTATTTAAATTGTTATGGAACTCGTCAACCTCAGATCTCGTTATCACTTCATCCGCAACCGTCAGGTCTCCAGGTAAGGTGAGGTTGCCCTCTGTGGGTACATTGAGTGAGGTCACCTCATATGAGGTCATGTAGTTCACCCCAAGTGTGGATACTCCCTCTCTTAACTGCCTCTTCAAACTGTCAAAGTTTGCCCTTCTGATATCTGGGACTTTAGTGGAATTTTCCTTGCGGCTGCCCTGAAATTCTAACTGGAACCTTATTTCTTTGTGATCGCTGTTAGCAAGTTCGTTCCCTACCCCGACATTATTAATGAGGTTTTCTATGTTTGACAGAACTAAATTGAGTATATTATTATATTAACCCGGGTTGGTTCGGTTATATGTTGGCTTAGGAAATAATCCTGGATTGTTTCAAGAAAATCCTCTGATTCTGAGTTTCCTGTAATGTCAATCCAATCTATTTGGCTAAAGCTAAAGTCGCCTGCTATACAGATTTTGCTATGAATGGAAGCCCTGCGCATTTCATCCCAAATAAGTCGCTCATTAACTCTATCAAGATTAGGAGGTATATATACGACTCCTATCATTAATTTTTCCCTACCATCGATTAACTCTATCCAAATTGTTTCTGTATTCCGCTCAGTTTTTATTTTCTTATTTATTTCACATTTCAGATTATCCCTGACATAGATTGCTACTCCGCCTCGTTTCCTAATCTGCCTATCGGTATGGAATAATTTGCAACCTGCAATTTGATATTCGACAGGTAACTCACGTGAGTCTAGGTTTATCCATGTTTCGGTGAATGCTATTATATAGATTTTTTCGGTACATAACAACGCCCTGATTTCATCCATTTTGTTTCACATACTTCTAACATTTGTGTAGTAGACATTTAAGTTAGTCGTGTTCTGAGTCCTCTCTTTGTCTTGTTTGAGTTTTAACTCCCTGCCTAATTTAGTTTTGTCGTAATTCCTAGCACTATTTCCCTGTAACCTTTCAATTTGCTTTCCCGATCCCATTGCAGTCTCCTCCACCCCCGTGCTCATATGTTCTCCTTGCATTTTAAAGACTCCGACATCTTTTGAACTGCCCTCTCGAGAGAGCCAGCCAGGGTTGCCACCCCATCCCGAGACAGGTGCACCCCATCCCTAGCATAAAGGTCCCTTCTGCCGTAGAAGTTGTCCCAGTTGTCAATGAATGGGACTGATATTGACTTGCAATATCTGTCAAAACGGCCGTTGACACCAACTGCCCTTGACAACTTTTCACGACCAACTCCTCTTCTAGGCAAGACACCACATACTATCGGGATCTCTCCCCTATATCTAACCTTCCCCAGCGCCTCCCTATACTCTTGAAAAGTTCCTCACTCCTAACCTTTCCCATGTTCAGCAGCCCCTGACCATATCAACACCCGAGGACGAGTTACTGCACCACGTGAATACCACACCACCTGGTGTCCCCATGACCACGGGAGGTCCTTCTTATCAACATCCGAGGACGAGTTACTGCACCACGTGAACACCACACCACCTGGTGTCCCCATGACCACGGGAGGTCCTTCCTATCAACACCGAGGACGAGTTGCTACACCACATGAGCACCACACCACCCGGTGTCCCCATGACCACGTGAGGTCCTTCATATAAACACCCGAGGACGAGTTACTACACCACGTGAACACCACACTACCTGGTGTCTCCATGACCAGCCCAGGCCCGGGTCATCAACTGCAACCATAATATTTTGTATGTTCAATTCATGTTCCTTCTTCTTTCAGTAATGAAAGCTTTTGTTAAACGACCCACCCACCCCATATCTTTGTATGTAATAAGTAATTTTTATCCAATGTATATTTTCAGCCTTCGGGCCCCCGAACTTTTTCAATAAACCGTTTATTATTATTATTATTATTATTATTATTATTATTATTATTATTATTATTATTATTATTATTATTATTATTATTATTATTATTATTATTTTTATTATTATTATTATTATTTATGTTTATTCAACAGCTTTTTTCTCAGTTTGAAGTTAATGTCCTTCTTCTCATTAGGTCCTTTAGATTATTAAATAATGTTTTTGCTTGACCTATTCTTGTTATGATTTCTTTTGGACAAGTACCATCACAGATAATGTTACTTCCCAAAAACACAAAGTTCCCCTCCTGTTTAAGTTCCCTATTGTCTACCATAATTTTTATTTGGGAGTTATTTTCATTTTCGAAACACAAATAGTTGAGCATCATCAAGATCTGGCCTCCAGCATTGGAAGAGAAACAAGTTGCAGTTCCGATTTCTCTTGTTAGGTCTAGTTAGCATTTAATTTCTGATAATATTCAAGTCGTAATATCAATCATATAAAATATGTAAAATATATTAAAGTAGCCAAGTCAAGGGGCTGAGTTAAGTAAGTCTAAAACAGAAACAAGCTCAGACGGAAAAATGTGGAAGTGGCAATAGTTTCATTTAGGCCTAAGTTTCAAGTCCTAGAATATTACAACAGATAAACTGCAACTCTGAATGATCACTCCATCTATGGGACTATGCGTATGAAAAACTCGGCCAGGGAAATGCACCGGAAAGACGCTATGTTCAGTCCATGTTTATGAAATTTTCTTCATCTACGTCATAATGCCTCAAACACACAATAACTATGGGAAGATTAAATATGATACGATATTGAGCAAATAATTTTCACCGAAAGATTATTATATTCAACATCAATGTATTGTGCCTATAGGGTGTCATTTTTACCCTCACAAGTTATATAGACTTAAATTCTCATCAGTAATAGATTATAGACAAGAATCTTAACTTACGTGAAATTTATTGCTTGTGCAAGAAAGTTCAACATGTCGTCCTTCGTACCTCCTTCTGTTTCTCTAATATGATTTTGATCCACTGCCACTGACAGAGTTGGCTTATGAAGGAATCTGCAACAGATTACAGTAGTCTTGTTTAGTCAATAAAAGTGTTGGCAAAAGCTTTGTGTTATGATTAAATTTCAGAGATTAAATATTTCATTCAGTACATTTTCTGATACCTCCCTTCTTCTTTCCTCACCAACACGTATTTTAGAAGTCCTGATTTTACATCATCAAATGACTGAATTGGCGTGAATTATTTACGAAGCTAAATACTGATTTATCATGAATCAAAATTTATTTGTCACGCACAAGTTTTTTCTGCACTTTATCCCGGTCTGATTTACTCTAATTTCATGTTTGTTTGTTATTTCTTATGAATTTGTAACATAGCTCTCCAGTCCTCGAAATATGCTACGTACTGTATTGTGATCCTTTCTCCAACAATTTTTCACTGAGTGCGAACTTCTCTGCCATACTGCATCCACTGTTGGATCTACAATTTATACATTTGTATCTCATTTCAGATCACTTCACTCATTTCATATTACCATTTTCATCTCCTAACATTCTTGCGTCGTTCTCGGGCATCTGATATTCTAGTAAAGCGTCAGTCACTCTCTCCTTTATATCTTTAACCTAGACTCTCACCTCAGACTCTAGGTTTTCTGTAACTGAACATTTGTTCTTACCTTTAGACGCCATTTCCTTAAACTTGGATTTGGTGGGTTCGTTCATCATACGTCAGTTATAGCTGTTATGCTCTACTATGTTTTCTTAGCACTCATGTTTCATCATTCAACTCTTTGAGGATGATGTTTTAAGCCATCATCCTGTAAGTGTTCATCATTATAAAATTTGTCATGACATACATAAAAAATTCCCATCCTTTTGCCAAGTTATTCAGGGCCCTGTATTATTCCACATCGTAGACACTTATGTCGTTGATATAATTTATGCTTTTATACTTGGAAATTATTTCTCCCACTTCAAAACCTAGACGTCTTATCACTTCCTCGAAAAAGCATAGAGGAAATAGAGGAAGAGAGAAAGAAATTTAGAATTGGTAAAGCTTTTCTCCCCTTCCCATATTTCGATAGCAACGTATATCAAACTTAGTTGAACCAATCTTTCTTTCATATAATCCAATACATACAGCATTGTATATTTTTAATGGGAAAGAACAGAATTTTTTTCAGTTCGACTTACTTATAAAACTTGTCAGGGAAGAGTGGGAGATGGGTGGTGAGGGCGAGGCCTTGGTGGGTCGTCCAGGAAGCAACCTTCATAGCCTTGGTTCCCGAGATTGTATAGGGCAAGTGAATGAACACCGAACACCTACATGAGAGGTTTTAAATATTAATAAATCATTCACCTCAATCGTTTGCCTCTTCATCAAGAGATGACTTTTTACAATAATTCATACGCATCAAAGGAAGATTCTCATAGTTCATGAGGCTTCAACGTTTACTATACCTCGTATCTTCTAAAGTGTCGTCGACAACAAACAACATAGAGTTGGTCATGGAGAGTAACTTGTGTAGGTGGTGGAGCTCCGGGAGGGGCAGGCGGGTGACGACGAGGAGCCTCGTCGACCACACCAGGAGACGACCCTTGAGGGACCACTCGGCGAAGGCGGCGAGGAAGGCTGGGTCGTCGCTCAAAACCACCACCGTCACGCACCATGACACCTGACGCAGCTGTTGACGTCATAGAGTAGAAATTATGTGAGTGACCTACCCGCCTCAATAGTAGTGTGAGAGTGACCTACCCATCTCAGTAGTAATGAAAGAGTGACATACCCGCCTCAGTAAGACATAAGAACATAAGAATGGAGAAAACTGCAGCGGGCCTGTTGGCCCATACTGGGCAGTCATAAGAACATAAGAACATAAGAAAGTGGGATACTGCAGGAGGCCGACTGGCCCGTACAGGGCAGATCCCTTTCACACCCATCCCAGCACTTCCATGTGCCTATCCAACTTCGTCTTGAAGCTCCCTAGCGTCCCCGATCCTACTATAGCACTCGGTAGTCTATTCCACATATCCACAACTCTATTTCCAAACCAGTGCTTGCCTATATCCTTTCTGAATCGGAATTTATCTAATTTAAAGCCATTTGTTCTAGTTATTTCGTTATTACTGAGCTTCAGAACATCTTCCATTTTACCCTTGTTAATCCCACTTACCCACTTGTACACCTCTATCATATCTCCCCTAACTCTACGCCTCTCTAATGAATGTAAGCCTAAGCTTTTCAGTCTTTCTTCATATGGAAGGTTTCTAATATTATGGATCATTTTTGTCATTCTTCTTTGTACTCTCTCCAAAGAATCTATGTCCATTCTATAATAAGGACACCAGAACTGAACCGCATAATCCATGTGTGGCCTCACTAATGCTAGGTAAAGTTTCAAGATAACGTCAGCAGTTCTGTTACTCACAGACCTAGATATGAACCCAAGAATCCTGTTTGCCTTGTTGCGAACGCTAATACATTGTTTTCTAGGTTTCAAGTCGTTGCTAACAAATACACCTAGATCTTTTTCACAAACTGAGTTGTCTATTTCCGCGTTACCTAGTTTATACTTAACGTTTGTATTCGTCTTCCCTATCTGTAGTACCTTGCATTTATCAGTATTAAAATTCATTTGCCAGTCTACTGACCACTCATGTAAGGTATCTAGATCTCTTTGAAGGTGTTCAAAGTCACTGTCTGAATTTATCACTCTCCCCATTTTGGTATCATCTGCAAATTTACTAATCCTACTAGTTATACCTAAATCAAGATCATTAATGAATATAACAAACAGCAGAGGGCCTAATACAGATCCCTGGGGAACTCCGCTTTTGACCGCACCCCAGTCTGACTTTAATCCATTTATGCTGACTCTTTGTTTCCTACCAGTTAACCATAACCTAATCCATTTTAATACTGATCCACCTATTCCATGTGCTTCTACCTTCCTTATCAATCTCTCATGAGGGACTCTATCGAATGCTTTACTGAAATCTAAATAAATTATATCATATGACTTATCATTATCTACCACTTCATATACTTCTGAGAAAAAGCTAAGCAAATTTGTGAGACAAGAACGTCCCTGGGTGAACCCGTGCTGAGAAGAATGAATTAAGTTGAATGTTTCAAGGTGGCTTCTGATTTTTGTAGCAATAATTGACTCTAGCAACTTGCCTATGATTGACGTGAGACTAATGGGAAGGTAATTTGATGCTATTGATTTATCACCCTTTTTCAAAATCGGAACTACATTTGCAAGTTTCCAAGCTTCTGGCAGTAGGCCCGATTCTAATGACTTATTAAATAAAACTGCTAATGGATTACTCAACTCATCTCTACATTCTTTTAATATTCTAGCATATACCTCGTCTGGACCAGGCGATTTATGAGGCTTCAGTTTGTTAATTACTTTAAGCACATCGTTACTAGTAATATTGATATTCATCACCATATTTTCTATACTGTCGTTATATACCTTATGAACTTCTGGAAACTGTGCTAGGTTTTCATTTGTGAAAACTATTTAACGTACTACACATTTCTAACTCATCATCAGTCATTTCTCCTGTCGTAGTTTTAAGGGGACCTATTGTATCTCTAACCTTTGATTTATACAGTTGATAAAAAGCTTTGGGGTTATTTTTCGATTAGTTTGCTACCTTGATTTCATAATTTCTCTTTGCTTTCCTAATTTCTGTTTTTACCTCTTGTTAGGTTCTGATAGTAACCAAGTGGTGATTTTCGCCTTTCTTAACTTTTCTATATACTCCTTTCTTTTTCCCTAGAAGATCTAAGAGTCTATTATTCATCCATTTTGGTTGGTTCCGTATCGATCTGAATTTTCTTTTAGGGATGTGTTTATTTTGGGCATTATTGATTGTCTCAATAAATTGTTCATAAGTAGCTGCTAAATTAAATTCGGGGTTATCCCGTCCTAAGTTGACAATTTCCGGAGGTGTGGGGGGGATTAATCTTTTGACCATAGGGTCATCCCTTAGGTCTCTCCTTAAGCTACCGTAATTAGCCTTCCTAAAATCCGGGATCAAGGCCGAATTTTCCTTCTTCCTGCCATCCCATATTATGTTAAAATATATGGCTTTATGATCACTGTTTCCTAGTTCGTCTCCAATCCCAACATCTTTTACTAGATTTTCATTATTACTGAGAACTAAATCGAGGATATTATTTCCTCTAGTGGGCGAGTTTATGAATTGATATAAAAAACTATCTTGTACTACTTCTAGAAAATCTTCAGATTCATTATCGCTAAGTTGATTTTTCCGATCTATGCCTGAAAAGTTGAAATCGCCTAGAATACATACATTGTTTCTATCAGATGCCTTCTTTATTTCCTCCCATAGCAATTTACCATCGTTCCTACTCAAATTAGGTGGTCTATATATAACACCAATGACTACGGATTCACTGCCCTCACCAACCCCTATTGCTCATATAAGCATCCAACCTATGTTTGAAGTTATCCAGCGTATTCGATTTAATGATGATATTTGGTAACTTGTTCCATTCATCCACTACTCTGTTTCCGAGCCAGTGTTTACCTATTTCGCGCCTCAATCAAAATTTGTCTAATTTAAAACCATTGTTACGAGTTCGTTCCAGGTTGGATAGTTTGAGGACCATTGTAATGTCTCCTTTGTTTAGCCCTGACTTCCATTTATACACCTCTATCAGGTTGCCCCTCACTCTACGTCTCTCGAGGGAGTGCAAATTAAGATGCTTTAACCTGTCTCTATACTCAAGGTTCCTAATGCCCGGGATTAGTCTTGTCATTCTCCTCTGAATTCCTTCGAAGGATTCTATATGCATTCTGTAATACTGTGACCAGAACTGAACTGCGTAATCAAGGTGTGGTCTCACAAGTGCAAGATACAGTTTTAGGGTGACCTCGCTAGTATTGTAACTAACACTCCTTTGTATGAACCCAAGTACTTTAATAGCCTTGTTACGAGCAAAAACACATTGTTTACTTGGCTTAAGGTTCCTACTTATCATTACTCCTAAATCTCTATCGCTGTCGGATTTCTCAATGTCAACGTTGTTCATCTGGTAACTGGTTTCCCTGTTTACATCTCCTGTACTGAGTACTTTACATTTGTCCAAGTTGAATTTCATCTGCCATTTTTCAGACCATTCGAAAAAATTTTTTAGATCTTCCTGTAGTTTTGCGGAGTCCTCGTCAGATTTAATTACACTCCCTATTTTAGTGTCATCAGCAAATTTATTTATGTTGCTGTCTATGCCGATATCTATGTCGTTTATGTATATAATAAAAAATAATGGTCCAGGTAATGAGCCTTGGGGAACTACTAGTGACGATGCTCCAATAGGATTTAGTGCAGTTAATGCTCATTCGCTGTTTCCTGTCCTGTAAGCACGCCCTAATCCAGTTAAGGATATTACCATTGATGCCATGTGCTTCTACCTTTCGAATTAGTCTTTCGTGGGGGACTCTGTTGAAGGCTTTGCTAAAGTCTAGATATACCACATCAAAATTGTGCCCCTCGTCCACCGATTCGAAAACTGATGAAAAGAATGTTAATAGATTAGTTAGACATGAACGCCCGCTTGTGAAGCTATGCTGGGAATCATTGATCAATTGGTGCTTCTCCAGGTGATTTCGAATAGAGTTTGAAATGATTGCTTCCAGTAATTTGCCTACTATTGATGTTAGACTGATTGGGCGGTAGTTAGAGGTTAGTGATCTATCCCCCTTCTTGAGAATCGGTATTACATTCGCTATCCTCCAGGATTCTGGTACTACACCTGTTTTTAAGGACATGTTCAACAACTTTGCTAAGGGCATACTAAGCTCTTCCTTACATTCCTTTAATACTCTGGCAAATATCTCATCGGAACCAGGTGAATAAGGCTCTAGTTTGTCTATTTTCTTACTAACATCATTAGTAGTCACTTCTATCTTGCTTAATTTGTTTTCTTCACTATCTCTGAATAGAGTCGGTGCCTCGGGTATCATGTTTAAACTTTCGGTGGTGAAAACTGTTGACAAATAAATATTCAGAATATTGCTCATTTCTCCCTTGTTATCAGTTAGCTCGCCGTTATCTGACCATATTGGTCCAATCTTTTCTCGTGTTTTAGTTTGATACATTTGATAGAATCCTTTGGGGTTTGTCTTCGCCTCCCTTGCTATCTTTACCTCATCATTCCTCTTGGCTTTCCTTACCTCGGTCTTAACCCTACTCGCCAATACCTTATAATAATCCCGGAGGTAAATTTCGCCACGATTTATCCTTCTACCTATATCTTTCCCTTGGCCAATAATGTTCTTCAAATAATTATTTATCCATTTAGGGTCATTGTTGTCTGACCTGAGTTTTTTGTGTGGTATAGTCTGTGTTAGAGTGACCTATCCCCCTCAGTAGTAATGTAAGAGTGAACTTCCCGCCTCAGTAGTAATGTGAGAGTGACCTACCTGCCTCAGTAGTAATGTGAGAGTGAGCTACCCGCTTCAATAGTAATATGAGAGTGACCTACCCGCCTCAGTAGTAATGTGAGAGTGACTTAACCGCCTCAGTAGTAATGAAAGAGTGACCTAGCAGCCTCAGTAGTAATGTGAGAGTGACCTAACCGCCTCAGTAGTAATGTGAGAGTGACCTACCCACCTCAGTAGTAATGTGAGAGTGACCTACCAGCCTCAGTAGTAATGTGAGAGTGACCTACCCGCCTCAGTAGTAATGTGAGTGACCTACCCGCCTCAGTAGTAATGTGAGAGTGACCTACCAGCCTCAGTAGTAATGTGAGAGTGACCTACCCGCCTCAGTAGTAATGTGAGCGTGACTTACCCGACTCAGTAGTAATGTGAGAGTGATCTACCCGCCTCAGTAGTAATGTGAGAGTGATCTACTCATCTCAGTAATCAAGTGTATGACCTACCTGTCGAACCTTGTCCACCACTTGAGAGAGATTTGCTTGCACAACGATATTATTCTGATCATCCAATACCACCTCAAGCAGTGCCATCCCTGAAGGGAAGTGCAGAGACAAAAATTCCTGAAATAAGAGAAAGGAAATTATATATATATATATATATATATATATATATATATATATATATATATATATATATATATATATATATATATATATATATATATATATATATATATATATATATATATATATATATATATTTCATGTAAATCCACAATGAAAACGTGGATAAGATAAATCTTGATAAAATCACACGGGAAAAGGGAAACAACGGAGTACCTTGGCTTTCGTCTTTATTCAAGACATCTTCAGTTGCCTCTGAAGATGTGAATAAAACAATAAATCAAATATATATATATATATATATATATATATATATATATATATATATATAAATATATATATATATGTATATATATATATATATATATATATATATATATATATATATATATATATATATATATATATATATATATATATATATATATATATATATATATATATATATAAGAAAATAAGGAGTCTGCAGTGTGCATGGCAGCTCCTGTCGTGAGTTACTACCACTCTCTATCATCCATGAATCTATCTAGCCTCCTTTTGAAACTTTCCAGAGTTCCCGCACTTACTACAAAGTTGCTAAGCTTGTTCCACTCGTCCACCACCCTATTTGTGAACCAGTTTTTTCCTATCTCCCTCCTAAACCTAAACTTATCCAACTTGAATCCGTTGCTCCGAGTCCTATCCTGCTCGGATATTATAAGAACTTTATCTATATCCCCATTATTGATTCCTTTCACCCACTTAAATACTTCTATCATATTTCAACGCACTCTTCGTCTTTCTAGGGAATGCAAGTTAAGTTTCTTTAGACTATCCTGATATGGAAGGTTTCTAAGTCCCGTAATCATTTTTGTCATTCTTCGCTGCACCGACTCTAGTGAATTTACAGTATATCCATTCTATAATAGGGGCACCAGAACTGAACGCATAATCGAGGTGTGGCCTGACTAGCGCAAGATATAGTTGCAATAAGACCTCTGCACTCTTGTTACTTACACTTCGAGATATAAAACCCAATACTCTGTTTGCCTTATTTCGAACATTAACGCACTGTTTTCTAGGCCGTAGGGCCGGGCTTACAAGTACCCCAAGGTCTCTTTCACAAGTCGACTTCTCTAGGCTCATGTTGTTAAGGCTGTATACATTATAAGTATTTGTTCTTCCAATTTTAAGTACGCTGCACTTGCTGGTGTTGAATTTCATTTGCCATTTTCAGACCACCCCGGCAGTTTATTTAGATCCTCCTGTAATGCATTTGCATCCTGCCCTGAATTTATTTGCCGCCCTATTTTGGTGTCATCCGCAAACTTGCTTACGTCACTGCTGATCCCAGTATCTAGATCGTGTATGTAGATTATGAACAAGAGTGGGCCTAGTACTGACCCCTGGGGAACCCCACTGGTTACACTGCCCCACTCAGATTTAACACCATCTACGCTGACCCTCTGCGTTCTATCGGTGAGCCATGATTTTATCCAATTTAAAACTTTCCCCTCAATACCATGAGCCTTAATTTTTCTCAGAAGCCTCTGATGCGGTACTCTGTCAAATGCTTTGCTAAAGTCTAAGTAAATAACATCGTAATTTTCGTCATTATCTACTACCTCGAAGACTTTCCTAAAAAACGTTAGCAGATTTGTTAGACAAGATTTTCCCTTTGCAAACACATGTTGAGAGTCATAGAATAATTTGCTTTTCTCTAGATGCCATCGGATGCTATCTGCTATAATTGATTCAAGAAATTTCCCCACTACTGGCGTCAAACTGATCGGCCGGTAATTTGACGCTGATGCTCTGTCTCCCTTTTCGAATATGAGTACTACATTTGCCTGTTTCCACAAGTCTGGCACAACCCCAGTGTCTAATGATTTTGTAAATAAGTTTAAGAGGGGTCCGCTAATCTGTTCCCTACACTCTTTCAAGACTCGAGAGAAAATTTCATCCAGCCCTGGGGATTTTGCTTTCTTTAGTTTATTTATCTTCTTAAGAACATCCTCTTATCTGATAGTGATATTCTTTAATTTCTCTTCTTCCTTTCCCTTAAATATCAGTTCCACCTCTGGAATTTCATAGCAAATTTCTTCTGTGAAAACTGATAAGAAGTAGCTGTTCAATGCTTTGCTTATTTCTCACTGCCATTTATCACTTCTCCCCTCCCTGACTTTAAAGGCCCAACTTTGTCCTTGACCTTTCTCCTATATACCTGTAAAAATACCTTGGGATTCGCCTTGGATTCTCTTGCTATTTTGATTTCATAGTCTCTCTTTGCTTTCCTTTACATTTTTCTTAACATTCCTAGATAGTTCATTATACCTATTTCTGAGCTGCTCCTCCCCTCCCTTTAATTTCTTATATATTCCTTTCTTTATTCCTATGTCATGTTTAAGTTTTCTGGTCATCCACCTTGGCTCATTCTTATTTGACCTAATTTTTCTGTATGGTATATTTTGTTCTTGTGCTTTATGTAGTATAAGAGTGAATATATTATAGTCATGATCAATTGTTGTGTCATCTATGACCTCACCCCTTCCTACTGGGGACTGACGTGAGTGTTCCCAGGTGACCTCACCTAGGTACCTTCTTAACCCTGATAATCCTCCAACCGAAAGGTGGAGGGACTCTGACCATATTGTCATTGTTTTTCGTTCCCAATTTAGGGTGAACCTGATTTCTCTGTGATCACTGTTGCCTAGTGTACGTGTTCTGGGTATCAAGTTCTATCTACAGGAGCGAACACAAACACCTGGATAGTTTTTGTAGGTTCTATTTACTGGATAAGAGATATGTACACAAGGGAAGTAGCGCTCCTTACTCTGTCCGGGGGTCAACTGCTTCTTGGCGGCATATGGTAAGTGATACATTAGCAGCTTCCATATGTCGCCAGGCACATAAATTAAGCATGTGGGACATGGTAAATACATTGCGACACGCTGCTAGCTAGGCTGAATAAATAATGTATATAAATGGAGCACATACATAATATACATACATAATACACATACAGCATACATAATAAGAACATAAGAACATAAGAAAGTGGGATACTGCAGGAGGCCGACTGGCCCATACAGGGCAGATCCCTTTCACACCCATCCCAGCACTTCCATGTGCCTATCCAACTTCGTCTTGAAGCTCCCTAGCGTCCCCGATCCTACTATAGCACTCGGTAGCCTATTCCACATATCCACAACTCTATTACCAAACCAGTGCTTGCCTATATCCTTTCTGAATCAGAATTTATCTAATTTAAAGCCATTTGTTCTAGTTATTTCGTTATTACTGAGCTTCAGAACATCTTCCAATTTACCCTTGTTAATCCCACTTACCCACTTGTACACCTCTATCATATCTCCCCTAACTCTTCGCCTCTCTAATGAATGTAAGCCTAAGCTTTTCAGTCTTTCTTCATATGGAAGGTTTCTAATATTATGGATCATTTTTGTCATTCTTCTTTGTACTCTCTCCAAAGAATCTATGTCCATTCTATAATAAGGACACCAGAACTGAACCGCATAATCCATGTGTGGCCTCACTAATGCTAGGTAAAGTTTCAAGATAACGTCAGCAGTTCTGCTACTCACAGACCTAGATATGAACCCAAGAATCCTGTTTGCCTTGTTGCGAACGCTAATACATTGTTTTCTAGGTTTCAAGTCGTTGCTAACAAATACACCTAGATCCTTTTCACAAACTGAGTTTTCTATTTCCGTGTTACCTAGTTTATACTTAACGTTTGTATTCGTCTTCTCTATCTGCTGTAGCAATCTTTTGCATTTATCAGTATTAAAATTCATTTGCCATTTACTGACCACTCATGTAAGGTATCTAGATCTTTGAAGGCTGCGTTCAAAGTCACTGTCTGAATTTATCACTCTCCCCATTTTGGTATCATCATCTGCAAATTTACTATCCTACTAGTTATGCCTAAATCAAGATCATTAATGAATATAATAAAATACAGAGGGCTCTTTAATACAGATCCCTGGGGAACTCCGCTTATTGTTAATTCCCCAGTCTGACTTAAATCCATTTATGCTGACTCTTTGTTTCCTACCAGTTAACCATGACCTAATCCATTTTAATAATGATCCACCTATTCCATGTGCTTCTACCTTCCTTATCAATCTCTCATAAGGGACTCTATCGAATGCTTTACTGAAATCTAAATAAATTATATCATATGACTTATCATTATCTACCGCTTCATATACTTCTGAGAAAAAGCTAAGCAAATTTGTGAGACAAGAATGTCCCTGGGTGAACCTGTGCTGAGAAGAATGAATTAAGTTGAATGTTTGGTGGCTTTGATTTTTGTAGTAATTGACCTAGCAACTTGCCTATGATTGACGTGGAGACCACTGGGACGGTAATTTGATGCTATTGATTATCAATTCTTTTGAAAAATCGAACCACATTTTAAGCCAAGCTTCTGCTAATTAGCCCGATTCTAACAGACTTATTAAATAAAAACTGCTAATGGATTACTCAACTCATCTTCTACATTCTTTAATATTCTAGCATATACCCCGTCTGGACCAGGCGATTTATGAGGCTTCAGTTTGTTAATTACTTTAAGCACATCGTTATTAGTAATATTGATATTCATCAACATATTTTCTATACTGTCGTTATATACCTTATGAACTTCTGGAAACTGTGCTAGGTTTTCATTTGTGAATACGGAGCGAAAATGACTATTTAACGTACTACACATTTCTAACTCATCATCAGTCATTTCTCCTGTCGTAGTTTTAAGGGGACCTATTGTATCTCTAACCTTTGATTTATACAGTTGATAAAAAGCTTTGGGGGTATATTTCGATTCGTTTGCTACCTTGATTTCATAATTTCTCTTTGCTTTCCTAATTTCTGTTTATACCTGTCTTGTTAGGTTCTGATAGTAACCAAGTAAGTGATTTTCGCCTTTCTTAACTTTTCTATATACTCCTTTCTTTTTCCCTAGAAGATCTAAGAGTCTATTATTCATCCATTTTGGT